GCAGAAACAAAAAAGAATATTAAAAACAGTTGGGTTAGCATTTGATCAAAAATTGACCTGTAACAATGTTAAGAAACCATGACAGTGCAACTAGAACTACCTCTGTAAAGGTCGTTATACCAACATTAAGTAGCAGCCTGATAAATATGCATTTCTAAATTAATTTTAAATCCTTCGCTTCTCTTATCAACACTGTCAGAAAATAACCTTTTGATTTTGGAATTCTGTTTGCAAGCATCGACTCTAATGATCACCTCTAACACGTGATTTGATTGGTTGATGCCCATGAAAAAGTATGAAGATCGGAATGTAATTAAATAAATTAAATGTATATTTAGAAGAAAATGAAGGCTGCAGCTATAGATTATTTTAGTGATTGATTAATCTATCCATTATTATTTCCATTAATGTTTTAAACCAAACATAGATATTTTCAGTAATTGCTCATTTCTAAAAACAAAAGACAATTATTTGGAATTAAGAAAAAAACATTTTGAGTATATTAAATGAAATGTAAATGGCAAAAACATTTTTGAGTATATTAAATGAAATGTAAACATTTTTTAAAACAAACATGCGTTTTTTTTTTGCATTTTTTTTCTAAAATTTTAGATTTGTCTCCTGATTCTGCTGTAAGCAGATTATTCTTCTTAATCATGCCATTCCTAAAAGATTTTCCCCCCTCTTATTTGTTTAAAAACATCATTGTTTGAGTCTTCATGGTTTCTGTCCAACAGCACATTCCACTTTTTCTAGGCCACACAATATGTTCACAATATGTTCACCAGTAACAGTGTGCATATTAGAAATGTTGCAGAAACCTGTATGCTGCTCAACTGAACCCCATGCTCTTCTCTGCTTTTATTTGCATGGAGAGCAGAAATCTAATCATTTAGGATAAATTTGAATGTTCTGTTGGAGCGCTTCTACTCAGAGCTGTCAACTGGTAACTGCAAGTATCCACCCAGTATGCATGCAAGTCCCAGCTAGAGTGCTCGTCCATCAGTATACTTCTGGTGTTGTAAAAAGAGCTACCTACCATGACAACAGTGCAGCAAACAAACAAAGGCTTTAGTTATCTTAAAATGAGGATGCAGTTAAAACTCCCCAAGTGTAGCGAAGAAAGTAACAGTGATGTTATTTGATCTGGGAAATCTAATCCTATTAGTTTAAACTGTTATTTAGCTCCTGGGAATTAAATGGGTGAAGTTGTGAAAGCAGCACTTTCTAGCTGTGACCAATTACCAAAGGAAATGCTCCTATCAGGAATCTCTCTATCAATTAAATTAGATTAGTGTTCTTTGACTCATTTATACAAATCATCAGCCTTGCATTTCATCTAGAGGGAAGAGGGACAATAACTTTGACTTACTGGCTACCTGCCTGTAAACAGCATAAAGATTTGATTACAGTTTTAGTGAGATAGAACCAATGAAAGGATCAACCATTTGGGTTTTCTATGAGGATCTAAATTTAAGCTGTTTTTTTAATGTTCTACTGTATATAAATGACTTTGACCTCCTTCCTTAATGACCAGGAAATTTTGCAATAATGACAACCAGTATTTGTAAGCAGGGGAATGCATGCAGCCCATGTTTCTCTCTGTAGAAAAGTTGTTAAAAGTGGAACTACTCTAAATTCTATTTTTTCCTGATGAAGGCAGATCAGCCTCGTTTTGCTTTTTTTATATATTAAAAAGTATAAGCATTTATCTGTATCTTCAAAAAAAAACAAGCTTGATTGTCTGTAAAAATGTTAAATCTTATGTTTATGTGGATTTTGACCCTTAGTTTATGGTCCTGTTTAGAGTTGTTCTTTCAGTTTAATTTGACTTCCATTTGGGCCTCAAAACTGCAGTGTCCTGAATTCATTCAACCACCACATAATACAGCTGAGCATTGCTGTTTTTTTCTTATTCAGCTTTTATTTTAAAGCTTGATTTAAGTTGTTCTTTCCTGTTTCCCACAGCTGGCCCAACTTGACCTGTATTACAGTCTGTTTGGATGAGTCTGTCTCATGCAAATTCCCGTCATGTGAGACAAACTCCTTTTACTCCATGGACAATGTTGTTTGACAACACAGTACAGATGAGTGATGCTCAGGGTAACTTTACCTTTTAAATGCATGTATTAGTTAAAAACTATACTTTTGTATTTTTTTCACTTATCTTTATCTGATATCTAAAGTTGAACAGTTGGTAAATATAAGATTATTTTTGAAGGACGAAAGCATCTTAAGATTGATTAAATGTCCTTCACAAAATATGAAAGGGTGATAAGGGATGATCTATTTGGGTCAGTATCTAACCCTATCCAGAATCTTAGGGGTTGGTAAACAGCCTCAGGTAAACAGCCGGATAAGGGTTAACAGGGAAGCTTGGCCAATATCTTCTGACTGGTTTTTTGTGCTACTGGCCGGTGCCCATCAGAAGAAAGAGAGACTGCAGTATAGTATCTCCTTGGAGCCAGGGTCAATGACAGTTTCTCCTCCAACTACACTGGAGTATGCCATTGGAAGTGTGTTTGAATAAATAAAACAGATCTGAGCCAACTGTTGTGGAAAATTACCTCCAGGACCATGTTTTATTGTTTTTGCTAATTCTGGAAAAGACTTAGTGTGGTTTGGCAGTGCATACTGTGTGACCCTGCCTGTTAAAGCCGGAGTTGTGGGATAGTTTTTTGATGGGGCCGACTTTCAGCCTGATCGTGTGTCTTGTAGTGAACAGCAGTAACGAGGGACAATCAGCCTCTCTCTTGAGGTCGTGAGAAATTCAAACATGTTTGAAATTCAGTCACCCCTCGTGGGCAAATCGCTCAGTGTGCATGCGCAAACAAGGATTCGTCTTCCTCTTCTTCTTCTCAGAAGAAAACACAAAAGCATGGCGCGGGTGCGAGTGAAATGGAGTTCTTTCTGTAAAATTGACAGACCATAGTAGCCACATTTGCTCAGCCATGTCTTTGTCCAAATACATCATCACTTTTCTTTTTAGGGCTTTCAGCACACAAAGTTGCACAAATTGCCAACTCACCGCATTTCACTCTAGTGACCTTCCTATAGCAGTTAGATCGCATCGGAGCGTCGGGTCGCACAGTGTGAGAACATACATTGTGAGATGTGAACTTCTAAACCCTGCGGTTTGCATTTTAGATGTGTGCAACGAAAATATTGCACAATACCTTTAGAACAAATGCAGGTTTGAATGATGAGTGTGTGAGTGAATGCTAGTGTGCAGAGGTTCATGTCTGCAATGTTAAGTTTGCTTGTAAGTTTATTGTACATTAAAAGAGAAAAATTTATTAAAATATATGGGGGAAAAAAAGTAACACATTACCTTGTTTGGTTTTTCATAGGGATGCACGATATTGGGATTTTGGCCGATATCCGATATGCCGATATTTTAAAACTCATGTAGCCGATAACCGATATCGATACCGATGTTAAAGCTGGACAAAAATAAGTAGTCATTGAAAATAGCAGTTTTGTTATCCATTTCTACTTTGAAAAATAATATACTCAAATATATTTTCATATGCTGATATCAAATTGGTTTTTAAAAACGCGGTATCGATCTATTTTACTTTCAAAATCTCGTGAAATTTCATCGTTCTGTTACAAACTCTCGTGATATTTTGCAAATTCTTGTGAGATTTTGTTAGTAAAATACATCAATACCGCGTCAATATATCAACATATAAAAATATGGCAAAATTTCGTGAATTTTCGAGGGATTTCGTAGCATAACAATGACATATAGCAATATTTAATTAGTAAAAGAGATTGATATGGTGTTTTTAAATTGCAATATATAAGCATATGAAGATATTGTGATATTTTAATGTATCAATATTTTTCCCTGGTCTTTAGAAGTTTTTAAGTCTGTAAAAAAGAAGTTTCTGAGGAAGAAGAAGTAGTATTTTTATTTATTTTTTAGACTTTAGAAACTCAGAAGCGGATCAAATATCGGGTTAAATATCAGTGGAGTGGCTGATGTCCGATATTCAGTTTTAAGGCCGATACAGGCCGATACCGATAGGGGGGCCGATTATATCGTGCATCCCTAGTTTTTCACACAAGAAATCTGAATCACCATGACACAGATGACCAGAAATGAGGTGACCCTGAAGCCAATTTACAAACACACACCCTGCATCTTACTTTCCCTTCATAGACTTCCATTAATTTCAACCTTTAATATGACCTAACCCTGTCCTAAACCTAATTTAAACCTTTGGCCTGCGTAAACCCGAAAGCACCCCAAAAAGGCCAGGACCAACCAAAACATTCCTCACTTTACATCAAATTCAATCAGTCAATAAATAAGACTGCTTACACTGAGCCTGGTTCTGTTGGAGGTTTCTTCTGACCATATGATCTGAATGAACCGTCTTCCTAAAGTCCCTTGAGATGACTTGTTATGGGAATTTGTGCTTTATAAACAGACTGAATTGAAATTCTGACAAAGCAGTTACTCCTGCTTTTGTCCCCAATGTCGGTAAAGACACATGAACAAAATGCTTAACTTGGCCCTTGCATAAAACCCCAGACAAATAAGGTAGATGATCTGTGATAATGTTTACCAGTTCCTCTTTTAAGCAAGTCCCTGCAGAAGGCATCATGAACTCAGAAATTAGGGGACATTTGAAGAAAGAACTGGTGGAGTATAAATGCAGTAATGACCCAAAACCTTCACCACAAAATACTCTTCTTCATCACTAAAATCAAACTTTATTTCATTTTCATTCCCGGTTCTCTATAGAAAATGTTTGATGATTGGTTCTTCCTTAACAGAACTTGCAACTGATGAAAACTCAGTTGGAAAGCAACTAGGACATTTGCCTTTACTAAAGTCCAGCTTCTTACGTTCTTCTGAGTTTCAGTTTGGTAGTGAGGCAAACAAGGTAAGCTTATGTATTTTTAGGAAGTGTTGCGAAACCAGCCACATAGAGCGAAAACTGTGCAATAATGTCAGAACAAAAATGGTCTAATGCATGTAGACATACCCATAGAAAAAGCGAAGACCTGTAGCTGCCGGGGCAGGGGTCCAGGAGCAGCGAACATCGTTGGAGGTATGCCTGTAGCAATCCCGTGAGGTCAACAGTTCTGACCGGTTAAAAAACAAAGACATGGAGACGATAAATATTAACAGATCCTTCTATAAATATATACTATTTTACCCCAGTATTGTATATAAATCTATTTTTAAAACGTAGAATGTCATTTTATGGGGTGTGTATGACTTACCTGGGTAATTTAATTCCAAAATTGCTGGTTCACTTTTGTTATTTTTGCCACATTTAATGGTCAAAGAAAATTCATACATGTGCCCTTTTTTCATGAAAACTTTATTTTTAGGCTTATAAGTTGTAGCACTGATGTCAATCTATCAAAAGAGAGACAAACGGAAAAAGTGAGAAACACAATAAATATACCCAGTGAAAAAAATCCTGATTTAGGCCCCTGTTTGGCATCTGCAAAGTCGTTAAAGGGAATTGTTGGACTGGCTGAATAGACGAGGTCTTCTGTTCCCCTGTACACCATAACCCCTGGACAATGTCAATGATAACTGCCTACACCCAAAGGCCAGGACTAACAATGATGAGCATGAACTGTTCATTCCTCCAGAAAAGGAGAAGCTGGAAAAAACTTCATTGTGAATAACTTCAATGAAAACAAAGGGCTGTCCTTTTTTCTTCTGCTTTTTAAATCTAAGCAAAGCTACAATGAAATGATTTACTATTGGAAAGACATGGTCAGTAAAACCTAGAAACTGAACTGAGCAAATCTGCGAGAGACAATCCCCTAAAACTAAAAATAAAACAAAAGTGAAGGGGGAAAAAAATGGTCGTTTGAAAGGGGTGTGAAGGAAGCCATTTATGTTAAAACAGAAAAAGCAACCTTAAAGAGAGTGGTTGGACTATCAGCTCTCAAAAACCTAACCCTACAATACAGTTGATTCCTTCCCAATACCATTTCAACCCCCTTCACTATGCAGGGGAACAAATTTCTCACCAGGTCAGCCAGGCCAACAATTACCCTTAACGACTGCCTTTTCAGAGGAATGGGCCAGTATTGGGTATTACAGGCCAATAACCACCTCAATGACTCCCATTTTTAAGGGATGGAGCTGGTTTTCCAGCTTTAATGTGCATGTTTTCTAAGCCCTTACAAGGATTTTGTTGGGCTACTCTTTAAAAGCCTGGAACTCAACACTAATCCAGACATTTTGAATTGAGAAAGCCTCCTGGATGGGAAGCAAAATGTCTTCAAACTTGGAAAACAAAGTCCAGTGGTTTGTTTTTTTAACTTTAACTTTTTGGAATGCACTGAGAGAAGCGGCTGCTCAAGGACACAATGACTGAGATGGATGAGTTAAAGTGCAAGGCTTCAAACTCCTGCATCCAGTTTTTCTGAAAATATTTCTCCTGTATATAATAATAAAAAAAGGTGTAAAACATTTTCTTTTTAGGACAAGTTGAGGGAAAGTTTGCTTAAACCTGTTTTGTGGTTCGACCTTATAGTTTTTAGGCAGAATGGAACAATGAGCTGTTTAATGGTGAACTTTTTTTTTCACTTAACATGTTTGCTTACTTTATCTAAAAACTCAAATTTCCCATTCATCTTGACATAATATGTGCAGTTGGGTAAGGAGTCAGGAGGGGGTATCCAGGAGAACTCTGGAGTAAAGTCATTTTCCCAAAACACAGACAGATTCTGAGGTGGTGGGATCTGGCCTTAAAGGGAAGAAAGAAAAAAATACATAAATGTGGTTACACAAGATTGAAGCATCACATGAGTTTTTCCTGAATCTTGGAGGCTTCATCTTAGGAATAGCAGAATTCATTTACACTCTATGGGGGGAAAACTGTTGGTAAACACCAAGGGTAAACATAGCCGCAAGGCAAAGGGTAAGGAAAAGAAAAAAACTGTATTCCTATCTCAGAAATAAGGGGTTCTCTGTGTCATTTTTCTTTATTTTTTTTATTTTCTTTAATGCAAAACATTGTACTGACAGTTTGCCACAGTAACATTTTGATAACAGGGAACTAAGTTAAAACTTTTGAGGTACAAGCATTATTGCCACACAGTCAGTAAAGCCTTTCCTGTTTCCCCCACTTCATCCGGGAATGATTAGTGCCAGACCTGCCGTGACGTCAGTGCTGGGAAACAGGAGCCAGAAACGGGAAAAGAAAGGAAAAGAAGCAGGACAAAGGATAAAAGTTGGTGGTGTGAATGAAAGCTCTCTTTACCTGATGCGGTTTCAGCCGCAAGAACCAGACAAGTCAAAGCGATCAAATCCAAACACTGAAACATCCTGTTAGATCATCTGGATTCGGACTGTTTCTCTTTTCTTTAAATCTCTTCGGACCGAGCTTTTTGACTCCCAACTATTTCCAAGCAGTCCGTTTTACTTATAGAGGGAAAAAGGAGAAACGAGCAGTGTGAGTTTACTTTCGCTTCCAGGTTGTTTAAAGGAGAGGGGAAGGCATAAGGAGGTCTGGAGACTGAGGTGGGCGGTTCGTTTTTCCGAAGTAGAGTCTGTTCGGGACAATGACGTGATAAATCACTGATCAGTGCGTGAATCATTATAGAGATCCGCTCATCATGTATTCATCACTGCATGAAGCGGGATGTAGAAGGCAAACGAGACAGTTATAGAGCAGCCAACGGATACAGGAAACTAACTTATTTAACTAATTCCTGCAGTCTATTTCTCTCCTAATTTTCCAATTTAGTAAAGTTAAAAAAATTGGTCATTAACCTCCAAGTTAAGCTTAACTAAAGTAAAAATCCAACTGCAACAAACAATCCCTTAGCAAAAAGTAGTATACTTGAAGTAAATTCTATTAGGAATACTTAAGTATAAGTTAAGAAAGTATACTGAACAATGTACTTTTAGTGTACTTGAAATATTACTAAAGTCATAGTTCTTCGAACTAAATTGGGACATTTTGAAGTTTACTAAAGTATACTTAAAGTATACTTTAGTAAACAAAACAGTAAACAATAGTATAGTCAAGTACACTCGACCCTTTAATAGCATAAAATATTAAAATGTATTATTTTTTCTTATTATTATTGGATATTGAGATCGGAGCTCAGTTGTTGGAGTCACTTATATCGAGGTTAAAGGTCATCGAATAACAATGAGTTTCTCATTTCCGGGGGGAAATGAGAAACTCATTTCAGGGGGACTTGGGACTTTGGGGAAAAAAAAGATAAATTTATTGCTTTGACACACACCAGCTGTTTCATAGCATAAGTAGATTACTTTACCTTATAATAAACAAAAAAGCACATCACATTGAATAGTCATTATGAAGTCAATGAAGTCTATAAATCATGTAATTATAACATATTATAGAAATCCATCACAAGAAAATTAATGTGTTAATATAAAATTATAATATAGATGTGCCAAAAGTGCTAAATTGATAATGTAAATATATACATATATATATATACATACATACATAGATATATATACATACATACACTCACTGGCCACTTTATTAGGTACACCTGTCCAACTGCTCGTTAACACTTAATTTCATGGTCAAGACAATCTCCTGCAGTTCAAACCGAGCATCAGTATGGGGAAGAAAGGTGATTTGAGTGACTTTGAA